CGGCCGAGGCGGGTGGATCACGAGGTCAAGAGATCGAGACCATCCTGGTCAACATGGTGAAACCCCGTCTCTACTAAAAATACAAAAAAATTAGCTGGGTATGGTGTCACACGCCTGTAGTCCCAGCTACTCGGGAGGCTGAGGCAGGAGAATTGCCTGAACTCGGGAGGCGGAGGTTGCGGTGAGCCGAGATGAAGCCATTGCACTCCAGCCTGGGTAACAAGAGCGAAGCTCCATCTCAAAAAAAAAAAAAAAAGTGAGTGACTGGTGATAACAAAATGATTTCAAGTGGATCCAGACACATGGCTTTTTATCCTAGAAGTTACAGTATTCATTTTTATGGCTATCTTCTATTTATGGCAAGGGTTGCTGGTTTTCCATTTTATTGCACTGAGATAATGTTCCTTTTTAATATGTGTTACAGTGACAAAAGAGCAAGCTGACGTAAAGAAAATTGTCAAGTGATTGTACAAATGGTATAAACACGGTCACAATTATCAAGGTGGCTTGTGGATGCCTGGGATTTGGGAAACACTGCTCTCATAGATTACTGGTTCCCATGGAAGAAAAATTATCCCCTAGATTATCTCCTATTATTAGAAATTAGTGTAAGTACCAGGGAATTGCCACTTCCAAACTAAGCACATCCACTCTGATGCAGTGTGTTTATTCGCTGCACATGTGCTTGCACTGGACCAGGGCATATGGTCTCCTTCAAACCACTGGGCTGAGTTTATGAATAGCATATTTGTACATGCACTATATCTGGGCATGTGTAAAAATACATAGCTTGGGCATAATCAAGTTGCTGTTTTAGACATTTCTTTATTCCCCCCAACACAACGTGCCGGGACATGTAGGCCCAGCTTATTTATAGATGGGGATCACTTTTCAGAGGACTTGGGGGCAAACACTCCCAGAGTCCAGAAACTGGCAGCTCTGGCCTCCTGGGTTAGGTTTATGGCTTGATGGGATGGTGCCTGAGCTGGATGTTTCGGGGGGGAGGTCTGAAACCCACTGGTTTGCTGAGAAACTTTGGAGAATTAACTTCTTTGCTCCCAGCCACAGTTGAACTATAGATTTCTAAACTCATCTTTAATTTTTAAAAAACTTAAAGTTATAATGTGATACGAGCTTCTTCAGACCTCGCAAGTTTCTCACCTACCCACCAAATGACACCTACCAGAGGCCTGTGTACCCTCCACACAGGGCACTGAAGTCTGGCGCTGAGTATTAAGCTGTGTGACCTGGGGCAAGCTATTTCTGCCTCTGGTCCTCCGATTGGAGGACCATCATTTAACAATCCAGATAAAAATACCCACCGTATTCCTGTGTACAGACCTGGAAGGATGTTCATTGTGTGGTAAGTGAAAAAAAAATTAAAGTTGCAATATTATCCCACTTTTGTGTTTGAAAAAGAAAAGAAGATTCAACAAAAACCTCATATGAACAATATAATGAATTATCTTTTCAGATGGAGTCTTCCTGTCACCCAGGCTGGAGTGGAATGGAACCATCTCGGCTCATTGCAATGTCTGCCGCCTGGGTTCTCCCCCCTCAGCCTCCCATGTAGCTGGGATTACAGGTGCCTGCCACCATGCCTGGCTAAATTTTGTATTTTTAGTAGAGACGGGGTTTCACCATGTTGGCCACGCTGGTCTTGAACTCCTGACTTCAGGTGATCTACCTGCCTCAGCCCCCTTCAAAGTGCTGGGATTACAGGCGTGAGCCACCGCATCTGGCCTAAATTTTGTATTTTTGAGAGATGACATTCTGCCATATTGCCCAGGCTGGTTTCTAACTCCTGATCTCAAGCAATCCACCTGCCCTGGGCTCCCAAAGTGTTGGGGATATAGGCATGAGCCACCATGCCCGGCCATATTAATATGAATTTTTAAAATGCATCTGCTAGGAATATAAATTAAAAGTAAATAAGCCAGATGTGGTGGCTCACGTCTGTAATCCCAGCACTTTGGAAGGCTGAGCAGGGTGAATCATGAGGTCAGGAGTTTGAGACCAGCCTGGCCAACATGGTGAAACCCCAACTCTACTAAAAATACCAAAAAAAGTTAGCTGGGCGTGGTGGCATGCACCTGTCATCCCAGCTACTCAAGGGGCTGAGGTGGGAGGACTGCTCGAACCCAGAAGGTGGAGGTTGCAGTGAGCCAAGATCGCGCCACTGCACTCCAGCCTGGGCGACAGAGCAAGACTCCATCTCAAACAAACAAACAAACAGAAAAGGAAATTGAGGAAAATGTGAAAATAAGAAATGCCTACCTTAAAGGATGATTGGAAGAATTAAGTGAGAAAATATATGTAAAAGACTCAGCAGAGTGCCTGACCCAAGGTATGCTTCCATTAAGTGGCTCATGTTGCGACTTTCAACGTGGGGGGATTTTGCTGCCCTCTGCTACCCCTCTGGGGGCCGTCAGGAGTAGGCTCTCGCTTGGTTCTCCCTTCCCCAGCTCATCTGCTCTGGGTTCATGGAACTCCCAGGGGGCACCCATTATCACACAGTGGTGACAGGCCCCACATTTAGAAGTTGGAAAGGCCGGGTCAGCATTTCCCAGGGTTCACTCTCTAGAATGCTCATTCATGGGATGTTAAGGGGTTCCTGGGCAATTGAGCCAGGAAGTGCTTGGTTAAACAGGTCAACAGGATCCTCAGGGCCTTGCCAACTCCAGGAGGGAGATTTACAGGCAGTTTCCTGTTCTTATTTGATCATAGGATTCCTCATTCAAGAAGAATTTAAAGGGACTCACGTTCTACGGAGACCACACTTTGGGAAGCCGCAACCTAAACCAACTTTTGTTTGCTTCCCCCTTCATTTTGCAGGTGGGCAGAATAGGCTTCTTCCCCCTTCATTTTACAGGTGGGCAGAATAGGCTTCTTCCCCCTTCATTTTGCAGGTGGGGAGGAGAACAGGCTGGGTGAGAAGTGACTCTCCAAGGACCAGTGGGGTTAGCCCATTGCCAGAGTCAACAGATCGCTCTCTCTCTCTTTTTTTTTTTTTTGGAATGGGGTCTCAATGTGTCACCCAGGCTGGCTGGAATGCAGTGGCACTATCACAGCTCATGGCAGCCTCTACCTCCTGGGCTCAAGTGATCTCTCTCAGCCTCCCAAGTAGCAGGGACCACGGGCGCCACACCGCCACGCTGGGCTCATTTTTGTATCTTTTTTTTTTTTGAGACAGAGTTTCGCTCTTGTTACCCAGGCTGGAGTGCAATGGCGCGATCTCGGCTCACCGCAACCTCCGCCTCCTGGGTTCAGGCAATTCTCCTGCCTCAGCCTCCTGAGTAGCTGGGACTACAGGCACGCAACACCATGCCCAGCTAATTTTTTGTATTTTTAGTAGAGACGGGGTTTCACCATGTTGACCAGGATGGTCTCGATCTCTTGACCTCGTGATCCACCCGCCTCGGCCTCCCACAGTGCTGGGATTACAGGCTTGAGCCAACGCGCCCGGCCCAATTTTTGTATTTTTTATAGAGACAGGGTCTCAATATTTTGCACAGGCTGGTCTTGAACTCCTGGGCTCAAGCGATCCTCCTGCTTCATCCTCCCAAAACGCAGGGGTTACAGGCATGAGCCACCGCGCCCGGCCACGATCTCTTATGTATGGACCTCTCACCCTCTTCCTTCCTCTCAACTGTCCTGTGGCTTTTCCATCCCGAAGTTTCTCCTACACCTCGCGTCCTTACTTACACATGGGTGAAAGTCAGAGGAGCCGGGACAACACAACACAGGCAATGGAAGGTTGGTTCCAGGGTGGCTGGAAAAGGACTTTGGAGCCACATGTCCAAAGATACGTAAAAATCTAGGGGGTGACGACCGAGTCATGAGACCAACTCAGAGACCACGGATGCAAAGGAGCTTCGTGGTTTCTCGTCACGCTGCAGACACATCTACACCTACCCAGGAATCCACAAGAGGGACGGAGTCCTGGGTCTAGCCTCTGCTTCCCTTCCGCCCTGGAAACTTCCCTGGGATCGCTCTACTCATCCATTCATTGCCTTTACAGGGAAGGAGGAGAGTGAATAGGAAAGACCTCTACAACCCACGTCTCAGAGGGCTGCGCCCCACTGGATGGAATTGAGAGAGGAAGAGAAGAAATGCTTCTAGAGCGGAAACTCTGGAGGAACCTGAAGAGAGAAAACCTTCCTGGCAGCCTCAGGGAGCCCTCAGCAAACAGCCAATGGCTCACGGCATGGCTTGGGATAAACCACAGCTCCTCTCTGGCCCTCAGTCTCCACAGTAAAGCACGTGGTTGGATCAGATGTGCTGGGAAGGACTCTATACTACCCCCACCCAGGCTCCACAGCTCAATGGGTGGCTTTCCTCCCAGGGAGAAAAACTTCTTGTCCAATTTCTCTTTGGGACCAGACATGAGCCAAGAGTCAGGCGGGGGTTGACTCTCAAGTCAGTTTAGGGAAATGCAGCTCCCTGGACTCCAAGAATCTCAGCTCTGAGCACACCCCAGGGCCCTCCCTGCCCTGTCTCCTGGGACCCGCTGCCCCACAGGGCACTCACCGAGGCTCTTTAGGCAATGTCACCTGGTTCTTCTCCCAAGTAATGACGGGAGCCGGCAGCCCTTCAATGCGGCACCTGAAGCGAGCTGTCCCATTCTCCTCCACCGTCTGAGCCTCCGGGTGCAGAGAGAAGTCTGCGAGTGCTGGGGACAGTGAGTGAGACACGAGGGGCAGGAGAGGGAGGCCACAGCAAGCACAAACAGTGACACACAGCAACACACAGCAGAGCCAATTCAGACCGAGGGAGACACAAGAAGTGGTGATTAGTGGTCAGATGCTGCCAGCAGAATGAACCCCAAAGCCCCCCTGCCCGACATCACCATGACGGTCAGACCAGACAGTAAGATGCACATTTCTTCTGGCCGGAAAGTGATTTCATAGTGATCTGTGTCTCCTGAGGGCCCCCTAAGGGGTAAGGCTGGAGCGTGGGGTATGACTCCACACGTCCCACCTGCCGTGCAGGCAGGAGCTCCCTTAGGAGGCAGCTTTGTGCCTCTAACCTGAAATGGGCACTCTGGCAGGCTCCCCGGAGGACAGCAGAAGTCCAGACTCTAGGACTCAGAGGGAAAGAAAAGGGGAAGGAACGGGAGAGTGGAGAAGTGGGAAGATTACAGAGTACCAAAGAACGAAGGCAGGCAACACCAGGAAGAGGCCTATTCAGCGAGGCGGGAGGCAGGGAAAGGAGGAGTGGGCTTAGGAGAGAGGATTTGCGCAAGTGACTAACTGCAGATCCCACTTCGCAGACCCCAGGTCTAGGTCTCAGCCTCAGCCCCCAACGCAGGCACTTACTGGCGAGCTTGACGACAGTAGGCTGGCTGGCCAGCACTCCGAGGGGGCCGTGGACGAAGCACGAATAGCTGCCTTCAATGGCCCCCACAGCCTTGGGGACCGCCTCGTCACTGCCATTGGGTGCTAGTGGCTGGGACAGCCACAGGGAGCCATTGGGCAGCAGGTGTAGGTGATCATGCTCCAGCAGGGCGTCCCCATCCTTGATCCAGATCACCCTGTTGGGGTGTCCGGCGGCAGCCGCACCCAGGCTACAGTTCAGCACTGTGGCCTGCCCTGGGCCCAGGATCACTTGCAGGGGCCCCACGCCACAGCTCAGCTCCACGGTCGTCTCCTGGGGCAACAGCAGCTCCCCTGCACAGAGGAACGCAGGGCCATCAGTGTGTGTCCCCACCTCTCACAGCCTCTGCTCCTGAGTCACCCACCCAGGGGCTGGGGCAAGTCAAGGAGAAAGACCTGTGTCTGGACCCGGCTCTGCCCTTACTACCTGTGACCTTGGACAAGCTGCTGCACTTCTCTGTGCCTGTCTTCCCCTGCTGCTCAGTTTCCTCATAGCAGCATTATTCACACCAGCCAAAGAGTGGAAACAACCCAAATGCCCAGCCCCCGATGAACGGACAACTATATTACTCAGCCATCCAAAGGAACGAAGTGCTGACGCGTGCTACAAGGTGGATGAGCCCTGAAAACTTGACGCTAGGTGAGGGAGCCAGTCATAAGATGCCACATTTTGCATGATCTCATTTCTATGAAATGCCCAGAGGAGGCAAATCCATAAACACAGAAGGTGGATTCATGATTGTTAGTGACTGGGGGGAGGAAGGACGGGGAGTGACTGCTAATGAGTAGAGGGTTTCTTTTGGGGGTGAAGAAAATGTTCTAGAATTAGTGGCTGTGGTTGCACAACCTTGTGAATATGAATATACTAAAAACCATGCCAGGCGCGGTGGCTCACGCCTGGAATCCTGGCACTGTGGGAGGCTGAGGCAGTAGCATTACGAGGTCAAGAGATTGAGACCATTCTGGTCAACACGGTGAAACCCTGTCTTTACTAAAAAAAAAAAAAAAAAAAAAAAAAACAAAAGTTAGCTGGGCATGGTGGCACACACCTGTAGTCACAGCTACTCAGGAGTCTGAGGCAGGAGAATCGCTTGAGTCCGGGAGGCAGAGGGTTGCAGTGAGCCGAGATTGCACCACTGCCCTCCAGCCTGGAGACAGAGTGAGACTCCCTCTCAAACAAACAAACAAACAAAAACCCACTGAGTTAAACACTGTAAAGGGTGAATTTTGTAGTATGTTAATTGTATCTAAATTTAAAAAGCAGACCAGCCTGGGTAACACAGAGGCCTCATCTCTACAGATAATTTAAAAAGCTGGCTGTGCATGGTGGCATGCACCTGCGGTCCCAGCTACTCAGGCTGAGGCAAGGAGCATCACCTGAGCCTGAGTTCGAGGCTGCAGCGGGCCATGATCACACCACTGCACTCCAGCCTGGGTGGCAGAGTGAGACTTTGCCTCAGAAAAATTAAAAGAGCATAGCAATTCCTACATTACAGGGGTGTTGTAAGCATTAAATGAGATGATGAGTGAGAAAAGAATATAGCACAGTGCCTGACACAGAATGGGGGCTCAGTCATGTCATTCTCTACCCTGGGACCTAACAGATCATATTGATCGTTATTACCCAATCAAAAATATGCCATCGGAAGCCAGGCGTGGCAGCTCACGCCTGCAATCCCAACACTTTGTGAGGTTGAGGGCCGAGGCAGGAGGACTGCTTAAGCCCAGGAGTTTGAGACCAGCCTGGGTAACACAGGGAGACCTCATCACTACAAAAAAAATTTTTTTAATTAGCCAGGCATGGTGGGAGGATCCCATGAGCCCAGAAGGTCAAGGCTGAAGTGACCTGTGATTGTGCAACTGTACTCTAGCCTGGAGAATAGAGTGAGATCCTGTCTAAAATATATAAATATATATATATATATATACATATATAGATCTGCTTCTGTCTCTACATATATGCACACACACACACACATACATACACAAACACCCCATAGGCTAGCAAAATACTGTAGCCAAGAAACATTTAAAATGTATAAGTGTGAGTAAGTGAGTGTGTATGAATACTATATATTTTGAATAAACGAAACAAAAATAAGTCCCAGCTGGTTGAGGAAGCCACCGGGCTGAAGGGAAGTCAGACATCTCCCCTTCCCCGACAGTGAACAAGGAAAGCAGATGCTGCTGGGAACTGTTAAGTGCCCCAGGTAGGGACTGGACTCAAGCTGGAATCAGAGCCAGCACGAGAGGAGCTCCCCGGGCTCATTCCAGGCGCCGGCAGCCCACAGCCTCCTCTGCCCTGGTGACTGGAGAGGCTCCGCACTCCCTGCAGCTAACTTCCCGAGGCCACGCAGGAGCCCAGAGCCAGGACTCAGGTCTCCTGACTCAATCCAGGGTTCTTTCTTCTCTCAAGGCCCCAGAAGAGCCTACTGACCTCAACACTGCCCTTACCACGAAGGGAAGAGTGGGGAGACAGCAGAGGAAGGGAACGCCATCCTAGGGTCAAGGCAAACACACACAGAGCCCAGTGTTTATAATTTGAACCAAGATTTCAGCAGGGCCCAGTCTATATTCATAGAGAAAAGATTGGTTCTCCCTGTTGTGTCTCCCAGAAGGTTGACTTGCTACCTCCTTGTCTTATAAAGCTCGATGGCCCGTCCCTTCTTAGCTTCTGATCTGACTCCTTATTTCAAGGCAGAATGGCATGTCTGAGAGTAACCAGGGACAGCGGTCAGGACAATGGCCCAGGCTCATTACAAGGCAGGTCTGGGCTGACAGAACCACAGGGGAACGTGCACAAAACAACGGCAAGGAATCAGGAGACCTCGGTTCTAGGTGCAGCTCCATCACAGTCTAGCCATGTGGTTTCGGCCCAGTCACTTCCCCTTCTGGGCCCCAGCTTAGTGGAATATAGCAGGTGACCTCTGATTCTATGATTCTATGATTATTATTACTCTATGAACTATGGTTCTATGATTATTATTTTATGAACTGTGATTCAATGATTATTCACTGACATGGGAAACACCTATTCCTGAACAAACATAAAACACCATTGAGACCCCACACAAATTGGTAAACGTAGCTCTGCACCGCTGAACACATGCACCTCAGGCTCTGCCACACTCGTCAACACCTGGACACCCGGGCCCACACTCAGAACCCCTGTGAGTCTCCAGTCTCCCTTCCCACCACCTCCAAAGAGGAACAAGACTGCAGGGACAAGGGCAGTGATGACTGGTGAAATAAAGCCAGGACAGACGGCCGGGATCTGGGGTCGCGGTGTGAAGGGTGGGCGGACAGACAGGACCTGACCTGGCCTTTCTCAATTCATCAGATGGGTCCTGCTGAACCCCTCTGGCTGCACAATCAGCCTCAGCAGGGAGAAGCCGCCCCTGCCCTCACCCAGTTTCCATTCTAACTGGGGAAACCAAGCTGGCATTCACACGACTGCAGGCCACGTGCTGTGCTGGAAAGAGCTTTTGACCTTGGGGAAGAAGATCAAGGTTTCAATCTTGCTGTTCCACCTACCAGCTCTATGACAAGCCACTTAACCTTTCTGAGCCTCAGTTTCCACGTGCATAAAATGAAGATGATACCACTAAGCCTGAAGGAATTAAACAAGACAATGCATGCCGAGGCTACAGCTCAGAGCCCAACAGCCACCACTCAAGGGATGGGAGCTTATTCTTTGTTTATTTACTTTTTATTTATTTTTTTTTTTTTGAGACGGAGTTTCGCTCTTGTTGCCCTGGCTGGAGTGCAATGGCGCGATCTTGGCTCACCGCAACCTCCGCCTCCTGGGTTCAGGCAATTCTCCTGCCT